TCGTCGTCGTCGTCGTCGACGTCGTCGTCGTCGTCGTGGTCGGTCCCCTGTCCGTCCCTCTTGGGGTCGGGTTGCCGCCGATCAGCGCTGCCGCTGGCCAGGCCGACGGTCCGCGGTCGCCCCGCCGCTTGCTGGGGCCTGACCTGCAGGGAAGAAAGGTATACCCCCCAAAAGGGGTACGATCGAAGACGAAGAGTGCGGGTATCGAGGGTTTGGGAAATACGCGTTAACGGGCACTCGAGCAGATAAGAGCGAACAGTCTTAAAATGATTGTTATTGTTGCTGATGTTGTTGTTCTTGTTATTGTTATTGTTCTTGTTGGTGGTGGTGGTTCCCTAGCAGGGAAAGTCTTGAGGGTCCAACGGGCCCCTTGGCCCCCGAAATAGAAGAACAACAAGCACTCCCGCCTGGTATTTCTTCACAGCTTATTCCCAAATCATGCTTTCGCGCGGGATTCCCTCACAATGTAGGCAGGAATCGCGTTCTAGCGTGGGACTTCCTCGCAGTCTATTCGGACGCCGCGCCCTCGACACTCAGGAATCACGCTCTCGCTGTGGATGTCTTACGATTGGTTTTGGAATCGAGCTATCGTTCGAGACTTCCTTGCGATTCATGCAGGACCCACGCTTCAGCAACCCGCCTGCCCGACCTGGCCGCCGGGGCCCGCCTTCACGACCCGCCCGTTCGGGTCTGCCTGTCCGGTCTGCCCGTCTGGTTCTGCCACTTGTTTTCTGATCCTGGCCCCCCTCCTGCTACACTCTCGTGCTCCATCCTCCTCCCTCCCTCTTGTCCCTAACACTTCAATCCGTCCTCTCTTCACCTGTCTCAGGGGCTGCACGAAATATGTAAGAAAGATATACCCCCAAGGGGGTACGGTCGAAGACGAAGAGGGCGGGTACCGAGGGTTCGGGATATACGTGTTGAATGCCACGCGAGCTGGATGGGAGCGAACAGTCTTAAAAATGATTGTTGTTGCTGTTGGGGTAGAAATCTTAGTTATAAAGAACAATTGCTGCTGATTCCCGCTGCATGGTAAGCATTGAACTTGTCAATCAAAGTACTTATCCCGGGGCTCGTATTCTTTTTTACCATGGAAAGCGCGGTGCCACCCACCAAACTGAGTTGTTGGGCCCGGAAGTACAAGAGCAACCACAACAACAACAGTAGCAGCAACAACAACAACATTCATGTTTATATTGATCGTTCTTATCTGCTCGCGTGTTATTCAACACGTATATCCCAAACCCTCGATACCCGTCCACTTCGTCTTCGATCGTACCCCCTGGGGGGTATATCTTCCTTTCCTGCAACGTGCATTTCGTGCAGCCCCTGAGGCAGGTGAAGAGCGGACGGATGGAAGGAAGGGATAAAGGGAAAGGAGGAGGATGGAGCACGAGAGAGAGAGAGAGAGCGAGTGTAGCAGGAGGGGGGCCAGGAACAGAAAACAAGTGGCAGAACCAGACGGGCAGATCGGGCGGATAAGCCTGGACTGGCGGGTCGGGAAGGTGGGCCCAGGCGGCCAGGTCGAGCAGGCGGGTTGCTGAAGCGTGCGTCCTGCATAAATCGTGAGGAAGTCTCGAGCGATAGCGCGATCTGCGACGGGACCACGAAGGGCAGCGAGGGGGCCACGAAGGAACGGGGCCACGAATGGTAGCGAGGGGGCCACGAAGGGTTTCAACGGGGCCACGAAGGGCAGCGAGGGGTCACGAGGGAACGGGGCGACGAAGGGTAGCGAGGGGGCCACAAAGGGGCTGCACGAAATACGCGTTGCAGGTAGGAAAAATATACCCCAAGGGGGTACGGTCGAAGACGAAGAGGGCGGGTATCGAGGGTTGGGGATCGCGTTGAGTGGCACGCGAGGAGATAAGAGCGAACAGTCTTAAAATGATTGTTAGTGTCGTCGTCGTCGTTGTTTTTGTTGTTGTTGCTGTTGTTGTTGTTGTTGATGTTGTTGTTGTTGTTGTTGTTGTTGTTGTTGTTGTTGTTGTTGTTGTTGTTGTTGTTGTTGTTGAACATTATTACTTCTAAAGAATAATTATTGTTGGGACCCCTGGTGCACGACCCCCCCGCCGCGCCTAGGCCGCAGCCTCATTTTCATCATTTTCGTGAGGAAGTCTCAGGCAAAACGGGGGTCCGGATCCGGTTGTGTTGTTACGATCGGTTTTCCCTTGCAAAAAATAAGCTAAAGTGGACATTTCTTGTTCTAACATAACCAAACTTCAAGAATCCCTTGCAAAAAATAAGGTAAAGTGGACATTCGCGCGCGCAAGACGAAATCCTTCCAAAACCTTAGTTTTCGTAGCGATTTTAACATAAAAACATCAAAAAACCAATGGTTTTTCAACAAAAAAATGTCAAAATTTCATCCCGCGCGCTCTTGCGGATTCGTAGGAAACCCAACACTTTTTAAACATTTCTGTCAAACGGGCTTTTGCGAGCAACTTTTTCGAACTTCTGCAACAACGGTTGCGCACCTGCCAGGGCCATCATCCCTGTCAAATAATACCATGCGGGACACATTCGTTTTTTCTTCGCGCGCGCACGCCGTCGTCGTCGGCCGCGGGGCCCTGAATAGTAGCCACGGTCGTCCGCATGCCACGAAGTGAAGTGTCCGAACGTCATAGGGCGGGAAGCTGGGTGTGGGTGGTGGCGAAGAGTCGTTTGGAAATTTGGTAGAGCTTGAACCGGCCCCCCCACAAAGTGGGGGTATTGCCCGCCTCCTATGAAAACCCTGGCACTGGTGAGAACGGTGTGTCCCCACGTGCTAGTAATTGTTGTTGTTGTTGTTGTTGTTGTTGTTGTTGTTGTTGTTGTTGTTGTTGTTGTTGTTGAATTCTCACTTCTGAAGAATAATTATTGATATGGTTGATCCCCCCCACCGGTGCATACTGTTTTTCTGAATCAAAGTGTGCCCCTCGACGCTCGCACCCTGTTTTTTTGACAGGGAAAGTCTTCCTGCTCAAACTGGGCCCTTGGCCCCCGGGTTACAACAACAACGGCTCCCGCCTGAGACTTCCTTACAACTTAGCCAGGACCCCCGCTCCCGCCCGAGACTTCCTCGCATTTTATCCAGGAATCGCGCTCTCGCTTGGGACTTCCTTACAATTTATTCAGGAATCGCTCTCCCAGCGCTCTGGAGTCGCGCTCTCACTGGAGACTTGCTCTCGAATGGCCTTGCGTTGGAATTTCTTGCAATTTGCCCAAGCGCCGCGCTCCCGACACCCAGGCACCCAGGAGTCGCGCCTGTTGTGGCTCCATGTGCATGCCCTTCGTGGTCCCGCTGTCGCCATTTGTGTCCCCCTCATTGTCCTACGTGGCCCAGTTGCTACCCTCAGTGGCCCCATAGTTGCCTTCTGTGGCCCCGCATTATCTGCACTTCGTGGCCCCCGCTCGTTCGCGCTCTTCGTGGCCCCATACGCATTCCCTTCGTGTCCCCGCTGTCGCCCTTCGTGGCCTACTTCGTGCCCTTCGTGGCCCTGCTGTCGTTCTCTCTCGCTCTCGCTTTCGCTCGTCGTCGCCGTCGTCGTCGTCGTCGTCGCCGTCGTCTTCGACGTCGTCGTCGTCGTCGTCGTCGTCGTCGTCGTCGGTCCCCTGTCCGTCCCTCTTGGGGTCGGGTCGACGGTCCGCGGCCGCCCCGCCGATCAGCGCTGCCGCTGGCCAGGCCGACGGTCCGCGGCCGCCCCGCCGCTTGCCGGGGCCCGGCCTGCAGGGAAGAAAGGTATACCCCCCAAAAGGGGTTCGATCGAAGACGAAGAGGGCAGGTATCGAGGGTTTGGGAAATATCCGTTATTGGACACTCGAGCATATAAGGGCGAACAGTCTTAAACTGATTGTTGTTGTTGTTGAACATTATTAATTCTAAAGAATAATTACTGTTGGGCCCCCTGGTGCGCGCCCCCCCCGCCGCGCCTAGGCCGCAGCCACGTTTTCATCATTTTCGTGAGGAAGCCTCAGGTAATTCGAGGTGATCAAGATCCGGTGTTTTGTTCCCTTTCCCTTTCACTATAAAATGACTAATATAATCAAATTTCAAGAATCCCTTGCAAAAAATAAGGTAAAGTGGACATTGGACATTCGCGCGCGCAAGACGAAATCCTTCCAAAAGCTTAGTGTTCGGAGCGATTTTAACATAAAAACATCAAAAAACCAATGGTTTTTCAACAAAAAAATGTCAAAATCTCATCCCGCGCGCTCTTGCGGATTCGTAGGAAACCCAACACTTTTTAAACATTTCTGTCAAACGGGCTTTTGCGAGCAACTTTTTCGAACTTCTGCGACAACGGTTGCGCACCTGCCAGGGCCATCATCCCTGTCAAATAATACCATGCGGGACACATTCGTTTTTTCTTCGCGCGCGCACGCCGAAATCTCCAAAAACCATTGGGTTCTTAAGAATTTTAGCACCGCGCATCATAAAATCACACGAATCGCACCGTAGGTCCTCGAAAAACACCTGCACGACTTTTCAAAATTTCTACCCGCGCGCGCTGTCCGAATCGAACGTAGGCTTAACAACTTCTGTGGGTGTGTACTCCACGCCAGTGTAGTAGCCACGGTCGTCCGCAGGCCACGAAGTGAAGTGTCCGAACGTCATAGGGCGGGAAGCTGGGTGTGGGTGGTGGCGAAGAGTCGTGTGGATATTTGGTAGAGCTTGCACTGCCCCCCCACAAAGTGGGGGTATTGGCTGGCGTCGCATGAAAACCCTTGCACTGGTGAGAACACTGAGCGTTCGGGTAAAGTGATTGTTGTTGTTGTTGTTGTTGTTATTGTTGTTGAATTCTCATCATTGAAGAACAGGTATTGTTGACCCCCCTCCAGGCACATTGCGTTTTTCCAGTTGAGGTGCCATATTTCCTGGGCTCGCACCGTGTTTCTTTATCGGGGAAGGTCTGGGGTCTCATATTTGTGTCTTGCCCCCCCCCCCCCCCCCAGTTTACAACAAGAGCGGCTCCCGCCTGACACTTCCCCACACTGCATTCTAAAATCGCGTTTGTCTGTAACCATCTTGGCGCAAGCCCTTGTGGCTCAGGATTCATATTCGGTCAAACCTGGGTATGCTAGCACCACCGATACTTCATTGAGGACATGTTGCCCATTTCGAATAAGTACGCTGCTCCATGCCGTTCCAGGCGCATCTTGGTGGCAATCGTAGCGTCTATTCTACCGAGTACTCCGTTCTGCACAGGTGTCGCGGGAGCCAGCCGCCCGCTTGAATGGCAGTCGTGCGACGTGTTCATGATGCAGGTTTCGGTGGACTCGTCACACGAGGTGCGGAACATGACCAAGCGCCCAACGCAGTGGGCCCGTAGCATTTTCCGCCGTCTCACTTCGAAAGGAATGTCTGCGCCACAGCACGCAGGTGCGACGCCGTCGCCGACAACCTGTGTTGACTCTACAGGGGGGGCGACGAATAGATTCGGCAAAGGGTGTGAAGCTTATTCGCACGATTATGAAAACCCCTTTGCAGGCATCTGTTTCGACCCATATTACGACGATTCGGATTTCACGTCTGCTTCAATGTGCTGCGTGTGTCCAGATGAATGCCCCGAGCTGCCACGCATACGTCTCCACGATGATTGTGAGGATTGGATTTCCTTCTCGGAGAACAACTCCGATGGGGAAAATCCAGGGAGATCGCGTCATTCGAATCTTGGCGGGCTGGGCCCGCAGTATGACATGCCAAATGAGCTTAGATTTTATGGCGTTGGACGAACCGCAGATGGGTCCCCCGTGGATATCACTTTCATTAATACAAGCATGTATGTTCCGAGGAACACGAATTGGAACAACATTTTCGGCGCCACGGCGACTGTGAACCTCCTGGTAGGGCAGTATGTCAATCTCAAGGCGGAGTTTGTGCGAAATCACACCTTCTGCCCTGAGACGCCAGTCCGGCCAAAGATCACGTTCTGTGATGTTGACCACTACGAGAATGGGGAGAATGAGATTGTGCTACTCGACGGCGTTAGCGCTGTCTACACGGTGGACGGCGACGTCGAATTCGACATCGAGTTGTACGAATACGACACCATCACCAGCAACAGTCCAGCTTCGCTGAATTACACCACGACTTCGGTCCAGACGCCGATCCCTGGTAGGACCTCCAGGAAGTACGTCGCCAATTCTGGGGGCAAGTTCGGGGTAAAGGTGACCTCGCAGATGTTCGGGCACGGCTGCGACAACCCGTCGGACGTGAACAGCTTGACCAACATCACCTGCCCGGACGCGTCGGCCGCCACTGTGGATCAGGCGAAGCGATGCTTCATGGTTGAGTTCGCTAACACAAGCGAGTTCGTCGTCGGGTTCCAGATCCTGACGGACATGCCGCCCGAGTACGTCCAATTGTGGGGCCGCAATTTCGAAATGGCTGGGACGTCCAACTACTTCGTCGACGAGGACAGCGTCGCATGCTTCACTGCGGCGCCGACAAGTGCGCCGACAAGTTCACCCACATCATCTCCAACATTGGTTCCAACAGCCTCGCCTACAGCTTCTCCGACAGTCGCGCCGACAGCGTCACCGACTGCTGCCCCGACGGCTGCACCATCAAGTGCGCCCACAGCTGCACCGACAGCGGCACCGACATCTTCACCGACAGCGTCACCGACTGCTGCTCCGACGGCTGCACCATCAAGTGCGCCCACAGCTGCACCGACAGCGGCACCGACAGCTTCACCGACAGCGTCACCGACTTCTACCCCGACGGCTGCACCAACAGGCACGCCCACAGCTGCACCGACAGCTTCACCGACAGCGTCACCGACTGCTGCCCCGACGGCTGCACCAACAAGTACGCCCACAGCTGCACCGACAGCGGCACCTACAGCTTCACCGATAGCGTCACCGACTGCTTCGCCGACCTTGGCTCCGACTGTTCCCACGGATGCCCCAACGCCCGCACCGACAGGAATGCGGGTAGGCGCGTCTGGCGACCCACACTTGGTCAACGTGCAGGGGCAGCGCTTCGACGTGCTGAAGTCCGGCGTCCACGTCCTGCTTAATGTGCCCATGCTTGCGCCCCCGTCGCAGGCGCTGCTGCGCGTGGAGGCCGACGCCCAGAAGGTGGGGGGCGCCTGTGCGGAGACGTACTTCATGGAAGTCAACATCACGGGGAAGTGGGTCGAGGCCAAGATCCACGTGCTCGGACGTGGTCACGGACTCATGTTCCACGCAGGCGCGGGGGAGCCCCACACGGGCACGAAGTGGATGCCTTTCGGGAAGATCTTGCTGAAGGTGGTCCATGGCCGCACCAGTCAGGGAACGGCATACCTGAATTTTTTCGCACGCAACTTGAAGATGGCCGGCTTCCTCGTGGGAGGGCTCCTTGGAGAGGACGACCACACGGAGGCGGCTCTGCCGGCCAAGGCGTGCGTGCAGACCGTCGAGGTTTGAGTTGGTGTCTTGCAGGCGGTGATTGTCCGCGGCAAGCTGCGTGTCTGGACCCAGACGATGATGATGATGATGATGATGATGATGATGATGATGATGATGATGATGATGGAGATGGAGATGGAGATGGAGATGATGATGATGATGATGATGACGATGATGGTGATCATCATGATCATGCTGCTGATGATGATGATGATGATGATGATGATGATGATGTTCATGAGTATGATTATGATTATGATGATGCTGATGTTGATGCTGCTGATGCTGCTGATGATGATGATGATGATGATGATAATACTGATGATTAAGATGATGTAAGTGATTGTGATAGTTATCGTGATGGTTCGCGTGTGTGTCCAGAGAAGACACACAACCATTTAAGATCTTGTGACGGGCGTTGCCTCACATGCTCTGCTGGGTCAGGTCGACTTTGTAATACAGGAACAAAAAATCACGCTCTCGCGAGGGACGTATTCATCATGTATACAGGAATCGCGCTCTCGCGTAGGACTTCCTCGCAATGTATTCAGACGCCGCGCCTTCCACACTTAGGAATCACGCTC